ACAAGCAATATGGTGTCTAAAACGTAAGTCTCTTAATTAACTTATTGTTTACTGAATTCAATGTCACATTTGTAATCATGGTCATTTTTGGAGAAAACGGCACTCTTCGTGTGAAATTTAATAACTATATGAAGTGGTATAAATATATAAATTTTCTGCCATCATGTCTTGAATTTGTGATAATTCTAAATGCATTTTAATAGATGCAGTGCAGTGCAGTGAAAGAAAACACACTAAATTCGCACACGCACTAGTCTAGGCTTCACGTAATGTATGCGTGCGCTCTGTAGGGATGCTTTGAATGGTTTTTAAAAAAAACTCGATAATGTCAAATCGCACATCGTTAAAACAACAATTACGATATTATCGCAGACGATATATATCGCACACCCCTACTGCACACATACACAGACACACCTTTTTCTTTTCTTGTGTGAAGCTAATTCTAATAGGTGCTAATTTTGCACTAATTGCTGTGCAGTTTTGCTCTCAGGGCATTTGAGAGCAATCTCAAGTCTTTATTTTCACAGCAGTGCATTGTGCAGATCACCCCCACCAATTGTTTATTATACAATTTAATTTTAATTTCATTAATGTGATCGGCTAGCTTATCTTCATTTTCTAGCAGAAGTATCCTTATTCTTTATTTCTGTGTGTTTCCCCGTGTTAGCTGTTGAGATTATACTTGATTTGAATAGTAAAATGTATGATTTCTGTGCGTAATATTCATATGATATCCCAAACGTGTTAAGCCAGAGCTTAATTAGCCAGATTTAAATGAATCCCCAATGAATCTGCAAAAGAAGTGATTTGCACATAGCTAGGTGGAGAGGGCATGTCTGTAATTGTTGTTTAATTTTGCATCATCTTTAGCCTCGTTTCCATTTGGAAAAAAAAGTGCTTTTCCAAATTGCATTGTGTTCAATAAGCTATTATCAGATTTCCTGTATTCTTGAGAATAATGAGAAAATAAAGCCTGGTGCAGCAGACAGGGCTGCTGTTTTAAAATTCTGGGTCTGTCTTGAGTGTATTTCATTTTAATTGAAAGCACAGCAGTTGCAAGCCCGTCATTGTTGGCCTTCACTACAAATCTCTACCTCTTCTGCACACACTGATATCTCCCTGAAAATTTGGAGCAGCTGGGTTTCTCTTTGCTCGCCGGGCCTCATTCGCCGAGTCTGGGCATGGTAGGCACATACGCTTTGGATCCAACTCTATTTCAGCGTCCAAGCTTAGCCCCAGTCTTTGAATTTGCATTGCCAGCCTTGAGAATAAATTGTCTGTGGTCCAAAAAAAGAAAATATATATATGATTGAAGTGTTTTCATCAGCAAGGTGCACATATGATTTGTGAAAGCCAGGAGAGACCCTGATTGAGGCAGTGACGGTTGGGAGATGGGCAGCCATCCAGGATAGATAACATCTCGATGGTTTTTCAAATGGTGTGCTTTATGTGCTTGGGTTTTTGTGAGCTGCCAAGGATGAAAAATGAAAAACAAAAAAAGTGAAAAGAAATTGCGAGATGGCCCTCCCGGCGTGACTGGACTGGGTGTGCTAAATATTAATTTGAGTTTGAGGTGATTGTCAGAGAGGCCAAAGCGTGGGTTAGAATTTGGATGGCTGCTTAATCAGGGCTTGTTAGATACCTACTGGGGCATCTCTCAGAGGGAAGATTTGGAGTAAACTGATTTACTGAGTAACATAGGAACCAAAGAGATACCGCCTCTCTCTGCCAAAGTTGTCATGATTTGAATGTGGTGGTCCATCCCCCTTTTCTTTGCTTATTGTAATTATGTTGCAATGATAAAGGGGCTCTCAGAAACTTTTGTGTGGTTTGATTTTAAGGGGAGTGCTGCACATACTTAAACCTCTTTTAACAACTGAAAACTCGGTAACCTCTGCTAAAATCAATGGAGTGTCTGTCTGTGCATTTAAAAATCATACAGCTTTTTTTCTAGGTAGACCTCCGCTGCTCATTTTTGAGGTAATTCACGAGTAATTTCAGTGCAGGAATGCTCTCTATATCATCAAGGACAGCACATGCTGAAGATCAGGTGCGCCATCATTATGCACGTTCTAATATGTCTTTGCTCTCTTTTGTTTTTTTATTTATGCAGGTCCCTGACAGGCTGGATGAAATGAGATCCCCATGTAGCGATTACCATGGAAACTTGTGATTCCCCTTCTCTCTCAAGGCAGGAAAATGGGCAGCAGATATCAAAGCTACGTGAGACGACACATCTTGATAATGAGGTGCCAGAGAAAGTCCCTGGGATGGAGCCTGACAAGGAAAACAGCCCTGCAGATGACAACCTGAGGACGGAGGAGAGCCGTCGAGAGATCGCATCGGCATTGAGCGCGGAGAATGCGATAGGTGCAGCCACTAAAGAGATCCCCTGCAACGAATGTGCCACTTCCTTCTTGAGTTTACAAAAATACATGGAGCACCACTGCCCGAATGCTCGCCTTCCTCTTCTGAAGGACGAGAATGAGAGCGAGGTCAGCGACCTTGAGGACAGCGATGTAGAGAACCTGACAGGAGAGATAGTTTACCAGCCAGATGGCTCAGCTTTTATTCTTGAGGACTCCAAAGAAGGTGGCCAGAATGCCCAGTCAGGGGTTAAAAGCCTCTTCTCCCCAGCACTATTTTCAAACTCCCAAACTGCTGCTGGGGACAAGACTGAGCAGTCGGCCACAGCCCCCATGTCCTTTTGTCCACAAGTGATCAATACCTTTCACATCGCTTCATCCCTCGGGAAACCATTTATGGCCGATCAGGCTTTCCCAGATACCTCAGCATTAGCAGGAGATGGTCCTGTGTTGCACACTTTCCGTGTCTACGATCTCCGACACAAGAGTGATAAAGACTATCTTACCATTGATGGCGCAGCCAAAAACTCCTGTGTGTCCAAAGATGTTCCAAACAATGTGGACTTGTCTAAATTTGATGGTTTCATTAGTGATGGGAAAAGGAAACCTATTCTGATGTGTTTCTTGTGCAAGTTGTCTTTTGGTTATAGTAGGTCATTTGTAACCCATGCTGTGCATGATCATCGGATGACCCTCAGTGAGCAGGAGCAAAAGCTCCTTAGTAATAAATATGTCTCTGCCATTATACAGGGCATTGGTAAAGACAAAGAACCTCTTATAAGCTTTCTGGAACCAAAAAAAAACAATTCTGTGTTACCACACTTTTCTACTGCAAACTTCATGGGCCCTGATCCAGGCATTCACAACCTGTGGAACACCTTTCACATGGAAAACGGTGATTCCCTGCAGGCTGGTTTCACCTTCCTGAAAGGAAGTGCCAGTTTGGCATCTTCTGCAGACCAGTTGCCCAGGAGTGCCCAGATGCCAAAGGCTGAACTGAACCTCGGGGTTGTGGCCACCTCTGCGCTCAAGTCCCCCGTCGGCTCCATGTCTCTCCAGCGCTCGTCACCAGGGGCTGGGTGCAGGGATCAGGAAAGCAACTGTGAACGGCAGAAGGACATTAGCACTTTGCATGCGAATGGTGAGGTCTCCATCAAAAGCGAGCCCAGAGATGGGGCCGATGCTGAGGAGGACGAAGACATGTTTTTGAACGAGCTCGACGACGATGGTGTTTGTGAACTTGGGGAAGGTACCAGTAACAAAGATTTCTCTTTCTTAAACCAAAGCATTTCTCCTTTATCGTCCAGTGTGCTAAAATTTACTGAAAGGGGTACTACTTCCTCTGTGACTGTTGCCAATGACCTAGAGAAGACAAAGCAAGCTGCTGCCAGCTTGGACTACAGCAATGACTCTATGAGTGGAGGCAGCAAAGACGGCTGCGACTCCAATGGCGGCAGGGATGGCAGTCCGCCATCTCTTCCTCTTGACATGACACGACGAGATGACGAAAGCCCAGGCCCACTGCACCAGCATGCTGCCACGCCCAACACCCCTGGCACCCCTGGCCCAGGAGAGTGCTCTCCTGGATGTGGAATCGAATGCCCCAAGTGTGACACTGTCTTAGGTTCTTCTCGTTCACTTGGTGGTCATATGACCATGATGCACTCACGGAACTCCTGTAAGACGCTCAAATGCCCCAAATGCAATTGGCACTACAAGTACCAGCAGACCCTGGATGCTCACATGAAGGAGAAGCACCCAGAGTCTGGAGACTCTTGTGTCTATTGCTGCACGGGCCAGCCTCACCCTCGACTTGCCCGGGGTGAGAGCTACACGTGCGGCTACAAACCTTTCCGCTGTGAGGTGTGCAATTACTCCACAACCACCAAAGGCAACCTTAGCATACACATGCAGTCAGATAAGCACCTCAACAATGTGCAGACGCTGCAGAACGGAGGAACGGAAGCCATCTACAACCACACTGCTCCTGTGTCGAATGCCAGTCTGAGCGGGTGTGGGACACCCTCACCCTCCAAGCCCAAACAGAAACCCATGTGGCGATGCGAGGTCTGCGACTATGAGACCAATGTGGCTCGCAATTTGCGCATTCACATGACAAGTGAGAAACACATGCACAACATGATGCTTCTTCAGCAGAACATGAAGCAGATCCAGCACAACTTGCATCTGGGCTTGGCGCCAGCCGAGGCGGAGCTCTACCAGTACTACCTGGCCCAGAACATCGGGCTCACCGGTATGAAACTGGAGAACCCTTCAGACCCACAGATGATGATCAACCCCTTCCAGCTTGACCCTAGCACTGCCGCAGCTCTGGCTCCCGGTCACAGTGAGTAGTTTTCCCTTGGATATGCTTGTCACTCACTTTCTTTTGTTCTCTTCCTCCTTCACTGACTCTGGTCTTATTACTCCTGTCATTATTGTTTCCTGCTCTCGACCTGTTTTGTGATTTGAGCTGCTATGTGAGAATCTGTTTCCCAATTTTCTTAAGTTTAGACCTTTGCTCCACCCAGAAAAACCTCATCTTAACACGGACTATAGTGAGCAGATTGCCTACACACAACAGCAGCAGTTTTATTCTTTCACTTTGTCAATCAAGACCAAACACAGCCTTTCTGCATCTGTTTCTGAAAGCCGACACCCTTATGCATTCATCTCATGGATCTTTACCTCCATACATAGTATAGACTGGCACATATACATTAGCCTGTCAAGAAATATTGTTTCCACAAAAAACATTGTCTTTCATCCAGCAACTCAGAAACTCTTGTCTAACAAAATGCTATATTTGTACCTTGCCTTGATCTTGTGTAATTATTAAATTCAAAGCTTTTTGTTCCAGGGGGTTGAGGGTATGAAAAATGATCTAGTTTGCTTCTAAAAGTGTATAGATCAAAGGACTAAATTACAATTAGATGTAAGATGATCTGTTTTTTTTTATCATTTTAATTTTTAGAACTACTGTTGAGGCAGGCTCATTTTATATTGATCAGTTTTGTGTCTTTAAAGAGAGAAGAAGAACAAAAAAACATGCTTGAGTACAAACTCAGGAATGCCCTGGTAGGAGTAATTAAAGCTATCTGATGAGGGAGTTTAGAACTTGAAAGGGATGATTGTAATTGATCCTGATTCAATCCTATTATAGCTTTTTATAGTTAAGGCTTTATAAAAGCCATACTCCTTACTGGGGCTCTTTTTTTTATCAAATCCCTTTGTATGGGTGCCCTACATGACCCACTGCTGAAGCTCTTCCAGTGCGCTGTGTGCAACAAATTCAGCTCTGACAGCCTGGAGGCCCTCAGCGGGCACGTGGCGGCGGAGCGATCGCTTCCGGAAGAGGAGTGGAGGGCCGTGATGGGAGACATCTACCAGTGCAAGCTGTGCAACTACAACACGCAGCTCAAGGCCAATTTCCAGCTCCACTGCAAGACCGACAAGCACATGCAGAAGTATCAGCTGGTGGCCCACATCAAGGAAGGTGGCAAAGCCAACCAGTGGCGTCTCAAGTGCATTGCCATCGGCAACCCCGTGCACCTGAAGTGTAATGCCTGCGACTACTACAGCAACAGTGTGGAGAAGCTGAGACTGCATGCGACCAACCAGAGGCACGAAGCTGCGCTGAAGGTCTACAAGGTCAGCTATGCTTTACTTTGTGTTGAACTGTGTCATGACCCACTGTCCTAGTTCTGTGTGTTCTCGGTGTCACATGGGTTAATATTTACTTTGTTTTGTTTAACTTTTCATTGCATTATATCTATTTTATCACTGTATTTGAAAGAG